GGAGCCGGCAGGGGGCCCCTGGAGCTGGACACCTGGCCCTTCTCTCTGCAGCCTGTTCCCCCCCCCCCAGTTAGAGGGCCTGGCTGGGCTGGGGGCCTGTGGGAGGAGCTGTCTCAGCTTCAAGGCCTCCAGATCACGCACGGCTCCTACCCCCACCCACCCCGCCATAGGGACCCTCCACGTGAAACCTCAGGGCCTCCTGTTGTGCTACTGCTCTCCAGCAGTGGGGAACCCCCACTGCACTGAACTGTGCTGGGATCTTGGGCTCTGCCCTCTGGAGCTGGGGCTGCACGAGGCACACAGCAGGGGCCCAGGTTGTGCCCCGAGCTCTGGCCCTCAGGCCCTGAGGCCTGCCATGTTGCAGGCCGGCCCTGGGAGAGGGGCCGAGGGGCAGGTGGCCAGGCCTTCTAGTGCAGCCCCAAGAGCAGCCTGTCCTGGGGGCCACTGTGGTTCAAGGCTGCCTCCTCAGGAGGACAGGACAGGTGGTGCTGGCCCAGGGCACAGCTGGGCCAGCTGCGGAGGGTGGGCATGAGCAGAAGCACAGCCTTGGCAGCAAGACAGCGCGGTTACAGAACAGCCCCAGAGACAGCTGCGTCCCAGTCCCAGGACCTGCGGCCGGGTCGGGTCACAGTGAGCCATGGCGACTGTCTCCCTGCGGAAAGGAACACGTGACGGCCCCTGGAGAGAGATGGCAGCAGTACCAGCCTCGACTCGCGCTCATGGCAGTGGCCTGCACCCAGACTACAGAGTGAGAGGGGAAATGGAAATGGATCCACATGCTTCCACTTCAGAGCTGAGATTATCAGAGAATTCATACATTCACGACAGCAGAGAAAATGAAGGACAAAACAGATGTCTTAACGGAGAATTTCAGCAGAGGTGGAACGTCTGTATCTAGACATTCTAGCACTGACAAATACATTATCTGTAATGAACTTGGTGGCTAGGAGCAACAGTAGCCTGGACACCACAGCAGAGGGTAATGAAAGTATCCACGGTGAAGCAAAATGAGAAGAACGCGAGAGCAGCACAAAGACCTGAGGGACGGTCAGAAGGCCTACGTGGCAGTTGCATCACCGAGGGGAGGAAGAGGGAGGGTGGGGCAAAGGTTACGTGCGAAGAGAGGTAGCTGAGAATCTTCCAAAATGTGTCAGGACATCAATCCACATACGTAACAAGTCCAGTGACCCAAAGTAGAATTAAAAACAAAAACACACATAATCGAACTGCTGAAAGCCGAAGGAAACATCTTAAAAGCAGCCAGGAAACAGAAAGAACTACCAAACTAGAATTCGCTGCCCCTCCCAAGTGAACATAAAGACAAACGACAGACGGAGGCAAAGGAAGGCGGACCGCAGAACGGCAGGCTGAGCTTGGCAGCACCAGCAACTGCCCCGCAAGCAAGTGGATCGCACCCTCCAGGTCAAAGGTGAGGGCGGCAGACTGGACACGGAACCAGACTGCTCGGTAACCGCCAGAGCCTCGCTGCAGTCACAGAGCCACAGAGGGAAGAGGAAAGGTGGACAGAGTCACTCACACAAATGCTAACCAAAAGAAAGCGTACTTCCACCAGCATCAGAAGCAGCAGACTGTGAAGCAGTAAGTGTTGCTGAAAGGACATTGCACAAGGAAAAAAGGGTTAATTGTATTTTTTTAACAGTCCTAAATACTTATGCACCAGAAAACAGGTTCAAAGTAAGAGCTGAATAGACGAAACTGAGAAATAAGCAAATCTGCTCACAGCTGGAGACAGACACCATCACACCTCTCTGTAGAGACAGAAGAAATCCCGGTGCTTAAGATCTGAACATGCACGACAGACCTGCCGTAACTGGCGCACACAGAACCCCACACACCGAGCGCCTGCCGCGCGCAGCAGCAGAGCGCTGTGCCGTGACTCGGGCCTGGACGAGGTCACTCACCTCCTGCGCACTGGTCTCCAACTGCAGGGGAGTCGGACTGGAGCCACCCGTAAAATAACAAGAAATCCCCCAATGTCTGGTAATTAAGAAACACTTTTATATAAAACATAGGCTAGAATAGAAACCATCTGGAAATTGGGAAAAATATTCAATTGTAATATACCAGAATTTAAGGACCCTGCTAAAAGCAGAATTGAGGGGGACATTTATACTTTATCCATAGATTGGAAAACAAATGTTGAAAATCAGTGGTCTAGATTGGAAGAATCAGTGGCATTAAAATGACCACACTACCCAAGGCAACCTACAGATTTAACGCAACCCATGGCATTTCACAGAACTAGAGCAAGTAATTTTAAAACTTACATGGAAACACAAGACCCTAAAGAGCCAAGCCAGTCCTGAGAACCAGCAGAACTGAAGGAAGCAGGCTCCCTGACGTCAGACTGCTCGGCTACGGTGACCCTGGCCGTGTGGCGCAGGAGCGGAAGCAGACACGCAGATCAGCGAGCAGGGCAGGGGGCCCAGAACAAGCCCGCGCGCTCACGGCCAACCGGCCTGCGACGCAGGCGGCGGGACCGCGCAGTGGGGAACACCGTCTCCTCAGTAAGTGGTGCCGCGAAAACCGGGCAGCCACGCGTGAAAGAGTGAAATTAGCACGCTCTCCAGCACCCCGCATACAAAAATAAACTCGATGGATCAAAGAACTAGATGTGAGACCAGATACTGTAAGACTCCTAGAGGAAAACAGACAGAATGCTCTGACATAAATTGCAGAAATATCTTTTTGGATCCATCTTCTAAAGTATAGGAAATAAACAGAAAAATAAACAGATGGAACCTAATTAAACTTAAAAGCCTTTGCAGAGCAAAGGAAACCATCAAAAAAAAAGAAAAGACAACGTACTGAGTAGGAGAAAACATTTGCAAGCGCTGTGACTGATAAGGGACCAATATCGAACATCTACAAACAGCTCAGACAAACTCAACAGGAGAAAACCAAACCAACCAATTAAAAAATGGGCAGAACTGAATAGGTATTTTTCCAAGGAGAACACGCAGATGGCTAACAGGCACCTGAACAGATGCTCAACGCGGCTAATGATGAGGGAAGTGCAAATCAGGACCACAATGAGCCGTCACCTCGTACCTGTCGGAATCAAAAAGAGCATGGACGCTAAGTGCTGGCAGGGGCGTGGGGAGGAAGGAGACCTCGCGCACCGCAGGTGGGAATGTAAACTGGCAGCTCCTGGAGAAAACAGCACAGAGGTTTCTCAGACACCTACAAACAGAGCTACCATATGGTCCAGCAGTTCCACTCCTGGCTCTACATTCCCCCCCAAAAAACCCCAACAAAAACACCAATTCAAAAAGACACATGCACCCAATGTTCACAGCAGCGTTATGTACGATGGCCAAGACGTGGAAGAAACCTAAGTGTCCATCAGCAGACGACTGGATAAAGAAGAGGTGGTGTATGTACACAATGGAATACTACTCAGCTATAAAAAAGAAGAAAAATTTGCCATCTGCAGCAACATGGATGGATCTGGAAAGCATTATGCTAAGTGAAATAAGAGGACAAATACTGTGCATCACTTACATATGGACCCTAAAAAACAAAACAAACTGGGGAATGTAACAAAAAAAGCAGCAGACTCACAGATACAGAGAACAGACTAATGGCCACCAGCGTGGGGAGGGGCGACCCAGGGGTGGGGAGAGGAAGCTGCAAACTGCTGGGTGGGAGACAGGCTCAAGGCTGTACCGGACAAGGCAGGAACAGAGCCAACATTTTGTAAAAACTAAATGGAAAGTAACTTTAAAAATTGTGTAAAACTTTTTTAAAATATTAAAGAAAAAATGAGTAAGGAAACTTTAAAAGTACATAATAAAAATAAAATTGATGGTCAAAGCTTTCATCTTAAGCTTTTAACAGCAAGTTCAAGCCAAACAGGAGAAATAACAAAATAACGAGACCAAAAACGAAGCAGAAAACAAATGAAATCCAAACGTTAGTTGGTTCTTTGATGAAACCACAGCAAAAGGTTTTGTTTTATTTTAAAGACAACAGGAGACCAGTATCAGAAGTGAGAAGGGAACAGCACTACAGCAGCAGGCCCAACATTCAAGAGATGATCAGAGGGGCTCAGCTCCTGTTAGGACACAGACTGACACGGCAGACCGCAACTTCAGCTGGTTAGAAGTAAAACTAGACAGAAGGATAGAGTCACTACAGAAATCACACACAGGTTCAGTGTCTATGGAGAACTCTATGGACTTAATGCAAG